CCAGTTCTAGTGTAGCCTTGAGACTGCCTCGAGTGTACCAGACACCAGAAACACTTTTCAAGAAAGCCACCAAGCTACAATAGACATTGGTCTCTTGTACTCCTGTCTTTCTCTTTACCTAAAAGGGTTTCTAGTTGTGAAGTGAATCATAGATGATGACCAAAAGTGTTGGAAGCTCTATGACCACCCTCCTTTTGCACTGACATCTAAAGTTAGAATACTTGTGAAGAGAAATGAATACGTAGTGAATGTCCGCAATTATAGCAGTGTCTTAATTTTTATTAAACATTTTAGTCTTTGATCTCTACCAGCAGCCACTTGTGGTTCATAGGAGCCTCTTTATCTTTTTTCCCACCACCTGTTGGTATGCCTCTCGAATCAACACTTGCTCCTGCTCTGTAAGTCTCTCATTATCAGGATTTTGTGGCTGTGGAAGCTCTTCCTTGACTTCTCCAATTCGATAAAACACAAAAGGTGCGGTCTTGTTATTTAAATGACGCAGCCTTTTGTGCGATTAACTCATTTCCATTCTTTGTTCCTAGCCTGCAACTCCAGTCTGCTGTAATCAAAAGAAGCGCTAATTGAAACTTCAACACAGTGATATCACTAGCACTCTCTAAATATAATGGACTCTTGAAAAGACTTATTCATAATTAATTAAGAGGGCAGCAACATTATTTACATTAACAATTCTGTTTAGCTGCCACTGGTACTTCCTTGTGTAAACTATCATCAAGAGTAAATGCCAGCTACACTACATAAAATTATTGTATATATTTGTGCAATACCAGGATCTAGTAGCTAGTCACACCATCAGTCATCATCATCTTTCTAGACTTTACCTCTGAAGAATAAATCCTTACTTAAAAAGTGGATTTATCACATTGGTGGTATGTCACTGTCACTCAATCCTAACACTAGAGTGTGTAGTAAGGATTTTATCAATTCTCATAAACGTTGTCTTCTCCCAGATGAGATTTCCCACTAAAAATTAACCTGTTCTACCAACACAATCTACTAGGCCTACACCATGGAGAGTGCTATTTCATAACCCAATACATGATGATTCGCAAGTGCATTTGATGAAGAATGTTGCAGTAAAAACAGAACCAAATGAAATACACTTTCTTTAATCAAAGGTAGTTTATTAAAGTTAGAACTCTCACGTTACAAAAGGGGTTTACCAGCACACAATGACCATCATGTTCTGTTTTAACTGGGCCAGGTATTATTAAACTTTTGGAAAATTGTTTTCAGTTCGAAGGACCATCCAAATACAACCTTGAGTACAGAGACTCCAAATGTAAGCTCAAGCTTCAACATCAGTTGTGAAAAGAGGTAGACCACGTTCACTGTCACTCATAAATAAGTTCCTTTTAGTCCTTGTTTGTCTTGAACTAGGACTATTAGACGCTTCAAAATATCACAGTCTACTAAATCCAAAATATTCACGACTCAGATTAAATTTTGTATTTTCAACTTAAAAAGATTTATTCCCCTGTGGCCACCAAAAGAGATAAATAATTTTGACATGCTAAAAGTTTTTCAGAATAAATATCTAACAACCTGAGTCATTATTGATGTTACTGAGTTCTTTGTTGAAGGGTCTTCCCTACCAGGTTTGCAGCAGCGCACTTTCTTAAACTGAAAAAAATCTCAATACATATAAGGGGTTCATTGCTATTTCCACATCTGGTGTAGTCCTATTTGTGTCAAATCGCTACACTGGAATCGTATGAGATAAACAACTAACACTTAACCCTTTAACACTGATAATTAATTAAACAGCTACACCCATGGTACAAAAATAATTGTTACTTCAAAGCAATTTTTAGTAGTACAAGTTTAGTAACGTATATCACTCCAGATCTGGCACTGAAAGACTTGAAACTTGCTAGCAATCTTTACAGGATGTTTATCCTTTCATACAAAAACTATGCAAGAAAGTAAGCGACCAAAGGCAAGCAAGCATCATTGGTAAAGATGCGGTGCACTTGTTATAACTACACAGATTTGGCAAAGGAAAAGCAAGTTCCAGTATGTTCAACAAGACCTAAGAAGCAAGTCACAAAGATCTAAAGTAGTACAATTCAGTAGAAAAGGCACTCCATTCAGAAGAGCTAGTATGACTCCTAGCTGCCATGGTTGTTATGCTGTTGCTAAGCTTACTGTAACTCCACCCATCATAAACTATGGAGGCATAAATCAAGTAGGGCTGCTTTAGCAATTCACCACTCTTGATTGAGCTGCATACTACATAAAAGTTTGGATATGCAATGTCAGGGGCTGCCCCAGTTGCATGAAATGTTTTATTCGCAAACAACAATGACAAGTGGATAAGCATCATGTGTGAAATTGAGAGTCGATGTTTTTAGCACATATGAGCAAAATACCTTGAGTTCTACTTGTAGCATTCCTAAATGGTTTTACATGAAGATTTAACTAAGATTATAGGAACTCCAAAAAATCTATGAGTTGATCAGCTTCATTACTATGTTTTGCTAGGTAAACTGAGGCCACACCCACCTTGACTTCATAAGAAAACATGTGAAAAGAAGCTATTTGTCTCTTCTTTTATTAT